CTATTGCATATTATAGAACCAACTTTTAAAGTTGAAACAGCTGACTTAATTCTTTAATTCCCTTAAAATATGAACGAGGTGTTAGCCCGTCCTACGTACGGGAGTAGGTAGTCAGTTAAAACTGTGTCAGAACAGAAGCTGAACAGAACAACAGAGCGGAATTCAGAACAGCTAGCTTACACGTATAAAGTCAAATTTTATTGCAGCCTACAGTAGAAAGAGTAATTTCGATTGAGAAGTGTATAGGCCTAGTCAACGATATCACCTTCCAATTCCATCGCATACCTGCCTCTTCCATAATCAATATCACCACAATACAATTACTCATACTATACACAATTTCCAGTAGGTCTGAATAGGAACTCCCTAAAATAAAACGAAAACGTCCAATAAAATTCACAGTACACATAATAATAAGGTTGGTGTCCTGTCCTGACATCATTAAACGAATCGTCCACACATATCCTTTATATCAATTTCACTGCATCAATTGCTAGCTAAATAAATAAGTGTAAACAAAGAAAAGTAAAAACAACAACATATAGTTTGTTTTGTAAACAGCTGAGTCAAAAATAAAATAATATTCATATGGGAAAAAAGAACTGGTCACATGTTAAAGGAATTTAAAACGTAAACACGCTAGTAAAGCTAGTGACGTAATTAATTGTCTATATAAAATATTCAGCGCCTCCAAACGTAACCACAACTAAACACACGCTAAACAACTGTTTAGATTTCATAAAACTGTGGTTAGTCTAATTGCAGTATCTTAGGTCAATGATGACGTTGTGTTCAATCTATGTCATTCGTCTGTATATCTTTGGATGAAACCTGTCTGAGGTTGTGGTGGTAATTTAAAATCGTATTCCTGAGGATTCTTGACCTCCTTCTTTATGACATCAATATTTTCGGGCCTAATCCAAACAAAGTTTAAGGATTCAAAAACACCGGTTGTAAACAAAAAGCTACCAAGATGAATTAAAACATGTAATAATTGTGATTTTCATACCGTTTCCTAAAAAAGTTGAGCAGTAAAATAATTTGCATATAATTTTTTTAAGACTTGTGTACAGAGCCTCGACTTGTATACATCGATGGTGTTACTTATCTCGGTGGTCTACTAATCTTACTTATTTCCTATAATCAATGACAAAATCAGAGTAAATAAAATAACCTCATCATAGTTCTATAGAGAATTTTTATATTTAACCAACTGTTAGTTAAAATAAATTATATTTCACTAAAACAAACCGAAGATTACAAAGATTACTTAAAAGAATAATTTGAACATCCTAGTATTTTACTATTTTTTTTTAAATAATCTGTCATCCTCTTATCGAAGTATTGAACGTATCAATGATTAGCATTACACATAGTATAAATAAGTCAACCATTAGTATGTCTTTTAATCTTATCCAAATGCTGAATTTGTGTTACAAACGCTGAATGTTTACAGCTGTTATGTTAAGCAAATTATTTTATGCCTAAAGCTAGTTTAGAATCTTAGCGTCGGCTGCTAGACTTTTTAAAAATTAAAACTTAACTTCTAAAAAACTGGGACCCTAAACTAAAATTATGGCTTCGACATTCCCTAGCTCTCAAAATTATCTTTCTTTCAACACAAAAATCATGAAAATCCGTTGAGTGGTTGATTCAGAATCGTGAAATAAAAAAACACTGTTTCGTTTTAATATTATAGATACTCATAAGGTTAACTTGGGGAACTACAGATCCACTGGGGCGGGGGACTGGAAAGGATTTTTGAGATAAGAATATGCCTAAATGTTAATATGAAATGTGAGCTATCATCATGCCAAATTTCAGTCCAATCCGTCCAGCAGTTTATGCATGATTGAGCAACACACAAACTCACAAACTTTCAGATTTATAATATTAGTAAGATGAATTTGAACGGATGGTGTTTTTGGCTTCTAGGGACATCAAAATGAAAAAGTAAATCGGTCCCGGGTCCAAGTCTTACCATGAGACCTACGGTAATAGCTTATTCCCTATATGGGAAATTCGCTAAAAGAACAGAAGAAATTAGAATAACAAAATTGCTATCGTTACAATCTTTTTAAGAGTGTTTTTACTATCTCTTAATATAATTTTTAGGGATGGACGGGATTGAATTTTTAGTTCGGGACGGGACGGGACGGGATTTTTATTTCCTTCCCGATTTTCGGGACGGGAAGGGACGGGATTTTTTTCTGTGCATAAAAAGAAAGTACTGTATTGCAGTTACCAAAAAAAGACATACAAAATCAATTTTTACCATTTGTGGCACTGATCTATAAAAACAAAAAAATGGGTAACAATTTACAGGTACCTATAGTAACTTGTGACTCGCGGGTCACGGGGTGATCGTCTGTATGACTCACGGTCACGGCGAGATCGTCGTCATGACTCGCGATCACGGCGCGATCGTCGGTATGACTCGCGGTCACGACGCGATCGTCGTCATGACTCGCGGTCACGGCGCGTTCGTCGGTAGGACTCCGCGGTCACGGGGCGATCGTCGGTATGACTCCGCGGTCACGGCATGATCGTCGGTATGACTCGCGAACACGGCTCGATCGTCAGCATGACTCCGCGGTCACGGCGTGATCGTCGTCATGACTCGCGGTCACGGCGCGATCGTCGGTATGACTCGCGGTCACGGCGCGATCGTCGTCATGACTCGCGGTCACGGCATGATCGTCGGTATGACTTGCGGTCACGGCGCGATCGTCGGTATGACTCGCGATCACGGCTCGATCGTCAGCATTACTCTGCGGTCACGGCGCGATCGTCGGTATGACTTCGTCTCCTGCGTTCGCGGACCTATCGCTCGCAATAACGGCGTTATCGGCACTCGCGAAGCGGAAAAATCGCCGACGATCGTACCAAATCCCGTCCCGAAAAATTCCCGAGTCAAATGTAATCCCGTCCCGATAATCGGGAATATTTTTTTCCCGAAAAATTCCCGAAATTTCGGGACCCGTCTATCCCTAATAATTTTACACTTTTGTATTACTTATCTATCAATTCCTATGTTGTGATACAGCACTTACCTGTAGCCTATCTGTCTATTATGAGCAGTAGCTTACAAAACTTTCTAAGGTTTAATATTTACGTTATTTATAGCAATGCAATGTTTGGCTAGTTATTAGTTGAGTTTGAGTGAGCTATTATTTTAAACGTTGCCGTTTGTACAACTAAACCAAGATAAATGATTTGAAATGTCATTTTTGCACAATATTGTCATTTGTGCACGGTTGTGCAATATTGAATTTTGTTGATAAAAATGCAAATTGTGACGTTAATGGCTGTTTGCAGCATTTCAATGGGTTTGTCATCTGTTTCTATACTACATTGTATTAACCATATTTCTCATGACCCCCCCCCCTCCCCACTATTAACTCAGGTAATCTAAATATATAAAAGGCAAAGCCCTCACTGACTCACTCACTCATCACTAATTCTCCCACTTCCCATTTACCTAGGAGGCTGAAATTCGGTACACCGATTCTTTGGGCATTAAATAGGAAAACTAAGTAGTTTTTATTGTGGACGGGCTTTCGGGCTCCGCCCCAGTGGCTCTTGAGTTTCCCATGTTAACCTTATGATTTTTCATATTTAAAAGGAATTAATGAATCTTAACAGCTGTTTTAATTAAACAAGTTGGTTCTGTTCTATGATTTTCAATAGCATTAAAGTTGCAAGGATTACCAACAGGGTGCAGCAACACTATTTTTTTTTTTTTTATTTAAGACAGCAGCTAATTTCCAACATAAAAGGTGTGTGAGCATAGCGAACAAACTTCAACCAGGACTCGAGTGAGCCATGCGAATACTTATGAAGTTAAACGGGGCAAAGGCCGCGGGTACAGCTAGTCGAGTATATACACAATAGTGTAAAGTATTGTAGCCTATGCTACTTGATTGTATTTTAACGAGCTTTATGTCAACAAAGCGTTCTGCGCTGAGTCGCGGTGTAGCTTGTGTCTGTGCCACGCTATTAATCTCAGCAGTTGAGCTGTTGCCTCCCTCTTAGGCCCCGTTTATGTACCAAGAGCGGGAGCGGTAGCGACAGCGGGAGCGATTTCTAACACCATTGAGTTAAATGGGGCTGTTTATGCACCAAGAGCGATAGTGATAGCGGTTGACCTCCCGCTGCGGTTTCTAATTCGCCCGCTGTGTAGTTAGAAATTGCAGCGGTTGCCTGGAATAGAGCGGTTTTCAACTACATTGAGTCAAATGGGACTGTTTATGCATGGCGGGAGCGGGAGCGGTTGCAGCCAGGGCTGCCAACTTGACCCACTCGCACGTGCACTTAGGACAAATAGTTGAGTTAATTATTTGGCAGAGTTTGAGTTGGCAAGACTGTGTCCCCCTTCCATTCTCCTTTAACCAACCGCTACCGCTATCGCTCTTCGTGCATAAACAGGCCCATTTACAGCGGGAGCAGGCCCGCTATCGCCCCGCTCCCGCTCTTGGTGCATAAACGGGGCCTTAGTTCTCACGTCTTGCTAATCTTGAATAATAACTTCCTACACAAATCCTATAGCTATAACTAATTGAATTCAAAATATAACTATTGTCATTAATTAATCGACTTTCTATCTGGTGACTTCGTAATATATTTTTTATTGTCGTCACGTTAAACACTGTAGCAATCAACTTTAGCCACCCTGAATTTTTTCAGCCCCCCCCCAAGAATTTCAATGACGCCCCTGCTCTAGGGCATTTACAAATTAACTTGTTATTAAGAGTGACTTGTTATCAAGGTCTAATGCCTATATTTTTGCCAGTTTGGGTAGACATCTAGTTGACATAGTAAACAAGTTTTCATCCATCCATAACATTGTTTAATTCTAAAAATTAACTTTACAAAAGATATTTTACATATTTGATAGATAGGGCTAGGGCTACTGTTTATAATTTAATCTTTTTAAAAATTTTAACATCATTACCAAACCAACAGTAAAATTTTTGTCACATGATTTAACAAATGTTTAGACAGAGAATAAACAGACAGCCAAACCCCGAATCACGGATTACAACACATGGGATAAATATGATGCTGATACCGAAATTGTAAAGATGGATTTGGAGGCTCAACAAGATATTGGGAAAGAAAAAGAAGTGAAAAGGTTAAAAGAGGTGGAAAATGAGAGGCTTCAGCTGATTGTTAAAGAAGCAGGTAAATTACAAGTAACCTAGTTAAAATATGTTAATTAGGCCTAATGCTATTCAGTGCAATTCATAACCTTTCTGATTTCAGTATTTAGATAGTTCCATTGTAATATGCTTTAAAATAGTTTATGTAATGTATTGTAATTTACCATATCATACCACATGATTAGCTGTAAATTTACGTCTGACAATCCTGAAATTTCATAAGAAGACATAATCCCTCTTAACTATTTATTAGATAATATCTATATTACTCCTAAACAAGTACTAGTTTTATTTGAATTAAAAGTGTTTCCATCAATCAATCTTGATATCTAGAGCCTAAATTGTAATTAGTGAAAAATAAAGGTTCATGCTTGTTCGGCTGAAAAGGACCTGGTCCAATAACAGCCCTGTCCGGGGGTTTCGGCTTCCTGGACTAAATATCACGATATTTTCAATAACTAACTTGTCAAATCCAAACTTAAAGTTGTAGTTATTTAATGGTGTTGAGCTAAATTACAAATCCAACCCATAATATTACAGGATGGCTCCAAATTGATCTGTCGCCTGTTGATTGGTCAGAATCAATGTATTCTCCATCTAAAAATATTGTTTAAGATCTCAGAAACATTTGGGACTGTAGAAGCCATACCAAATATTTTTCTAACAGTCGCCTATAAAAAAACTGCCACATAAGCAAGAACCTCAACCTGGAAAAGTATTTTAACACACCTGTTCTATGTACCATCGCTTTAATCTGCTGCTATAATAGTTTACGCAACGATCGCGTGAAGATAGTCTTTAAGACATTAGTAGGCGAGTGCCTTAAAAACATCTACCGTTGTCTTAAAGGCTAATTACGCGAGTTGCATACACTACTTTACCTACGACCGTTTTTTGATTACTTACAGTCACTACTCATAACGTCTAAGAGAGGTTATGTTTTTGTTTATAACCTCTCATTGCCACTGATTGTCATGTAAAGACTCATTGTCCCAACCAATCACTCATTGTATAATCAATTAAATTGGCCTTAACAGCTGATAAGTTGAGTTTCAACTCATTACAATTTTACTTCTTTTCTCTCAATCCTTGATCGTCATTGGTCCAAACTTGTATTGTAAAGTAACAAAACAATGTTGTTAAGTAATTAAACAATACTGTAAAGTGAATCTTTTCAATTCTAAGAACTGAATTGAAAAGGCTAGTTTAGTTAACGGTCGTAGGTAAAATATTAAACACCCATTTGGTTAAGTAGCGCTCGTCGCTTAGTATAATAGATCTTCCTAATTTTTCACACTTTAAAATATTTCAGAAAAACTATCAGAGACAGAAAAAAAAGCACTGGCCGAAAAAGAAAAGGACCGCGGAAACGAATACTATGGAGCAAAAGAATACATCAAAGCAGAAAAATATTACTCCGCATCAATAGCAATATGGCCAACAGCTAAGGCTTTCAACAATAGAGCAGCATGCTGTAAGTATCATGTAAAGAATGGATAAAAAATTGGATAGGTTAGTTACCTTGTATTAATAGTTTCCTGTATGGTTATTTACATGTTTTGTTACCTGTGTTATCAGATGATACGATACAAAGTTATAGTGTATATTCGTATTAGTGAAAGTTGTTATCTAATATTTACGTTAAAAACACATCTCATTACAGCATTGAAATGTAAATTAAACGTTACAACATTTTAACCCTCCGAGTGTTAAGCGTCGCGTAATCGACGCACAACACACCCGCCGTGGTGTTATGCGTCGCTTTTTCGACACACAGGTTGTCTAGTAGTCGGAAAAGTCGGAAATTAGTATTGAATTTCAAAATTGTCTTGAAAAGTCGGGATTTAGTCTTAAATTTGATTTCAAAGTCGGGAATTTTCATGATTTTGCCGCGATTGTCGTCTTGCGTTTACGTAACCGCGAAAGCCAATGATGATGATGTCTACACGGCCTCGGGAAATGTTCACGATTTTGCCGCGATAGTGGACGACGACGATGACGTTTCCGTGACCGCGGGAGATGACGATGACGTTTCCGTGACCGCGGGAGATGACGATGACGTTTCCGTGACCGCGGGAGATGACGATGACGTTTCCGTGACCGCGGGAGATGACGATGACGTTTCCGTGACCGCGGGAGATGACGATGACGTTTCCGTGACCGCGGGAGATGACGATGACGTTTCCGGGACAGCCGCGGGAAATGTCCATGATTTTGCCGCGATCGCCCTGCGATTGTGCAATAAATGGGCCGACATTAATACCATTACAATGGACACTTGGAGGGTTAAGTATGTAACCTTAAAATTGGCTAATTTACTAGCAAAATGCGAAGTTTTTGAAATCATGGTAGAAACAACTGTAAATCTAGATAATTCACTATTAACCCTTTTTTTTATCAAATCATAATTATGCTAATTTTAAAAAGTGTGCATCTGATACAACTTATCTGGTGCAACTGATATGTTTGTGGTTTGCACTTACAACCTTAACAGACTCTGGTAAGTGGACATAGTTGTTTCAATAGTTTACTTTTCTTTGACACGGATACAAACAGCAAGTTTGGGTTGAACCGCTGGTGGTTGACGGTGGCGAATAGACGAATGGACATAGATGATGTTGTGATGTATATGGAGCTGAATCAGGTGATGTTTTGTAGCCAATGCCATTAATGAAAATGGTACGATATAGTACTGTAAAAAGGTGGCATGATGTACAGTAGAACCTTGCTAATCCGTCACCTACAGGACTGGGAGCATGGTCGAAACAGCAACAAGGTCAGATTATTAGAGGAACGTGTTTATTGACATAAAAACATAGTAAAACTGTATTTTTAACAGACCACGGATAACTGAAAACCATGATTAATCCAACACGACATTTCTAACTCATAAACAAAGCCTAATCCTATACTATAATACGAGCAATGTTTGCTTGTATGTATGCTTGCTTGCATGCTTGCTTGCTTGCTTGCAGAAAGATCTCGAAAACGGCTCCGACGATTTTCTTCAAATCTTGTAAATAGTTAATTTTTGGCCTAAAAACGAGTTTACTGCAGTTAGAACTGCCAACAAAAATCTAATTACGGAGAAAAATGAAACTGAAAGTCACATTTTTTTAACATTAGTCTTATGGGTTGCTAAGTAACCATCTTGGCTGAATGAAATAACAAGGAAAAAGTAAACAAAAGACTTGTAAGTTCTAACACATGTGTTCATAAAGGCATCTACACACAGTATACTAGAAATTACTAAATACAGTACAAAAGCAAAAACATCACTTGTTACTACTATTGAGCATTGATTATATTGAAGCTTACTCGATACCATAGATAAAACTAATGATAAAACATACTCTTGTGTTGCTTAGTCTATGTCGATACATAAGGCTAACTTAGAAGTGCGGAGTGTGGGATCTGTTATGACGATTAGATTAAGCCAATTTTATTGTTAGTTCAGTCCGGTTTTCTGTAGATGTCGTGCTTTGTTTACAATTTGTTTCTGGTTGTTTCAGTAATTTTAAACCTCGTTTAACCAAATAATACTATTTAATCATAAACAATAACTTGTTCACTAAATCCGGAGTGTGGGAACTGTTAATGACGATTAGATTAAGGTATCTACAATCTTAAAATGCTAAGGGAAGGGAGGAAAACAGGTCCGAGACGCTGGAAGTGGTGAAGGAAGTAGTCAAGGCGAGCAGTCCGGAGTGTGGGAACTGTTTATGAGGATTAGATTAAGGTATCTGCAATCTTAAAATGCAGTGGGAGGGGAGGGAAACAGGTCCGCGACGTAGGAAGTGGTGAAGGAAGTAGTAAAGGCGATGAGCCGTGACTTGTCCACCAAGCGTCCCACCAATGTCACGCCTCAGTGTTTTTTGTATAGTGCGAGTGCTGGCCTTGCGCCGGAACTCGTTCAGTTTGGGTCTGGCAGCAGTCCTGCAGACCCCGGGGCTATTTTTCCGCTGCCGAGCACATTTTCGGCAGAAGAACAGCGACTGTCATCGTTTCATGTCAAGTTTGGTGTTTGTAATGTTATATTTGCATCGGTTAACATCTAGTCACTTTTTACTGTGCTTCTTACAAACCTAATTCTTTTGACATGTAATTAAACGGTTTGCCAGACGTCAGATGAGTAAGTTGATTGATTATTTTTTGATTTGTTTTAGGTTAGTAAGTTTCTGATTTAGTTTTGGCCTTCGGTCACATGTTGAGCAGGCTTTGAGTGGGTTTTGGCTAGTGAAAAACAAGTATTAAGCACCTTCTGTGCATTGGAATTACTTTTAATTACCAATTACTTGTTTTTCAAGGCGCTGGACCCATTTCTGAGCCTGGAATTGAACAGAGTTTTGTTGGGCCTTTGGCCAAGCTTTGTGTGGTTAGAACACAAGTTTTTCTGGTTAGTTTAGTAGTTTTTGTTGTTGTCAAGTTTTCAAAGCTTTCCCCGAGACTCTAGGCCAGATATTACCCAAGAAAACTCACTTTGAAAATCACTTTTGTGCGGGCTATGGTCCGTTTGTTCTGTGTCCCTGTTAATTTATTATTAGGCCTAAGGCCTAGTTTGTGCTCAATTTTGTTTTGTTATTGTGGCCTACAGCTTATTTAATGTAAATTTTGTCCCTCTGTCCCCTGTAATAGTGTTTTTTTTGTTATTTGTATTGTAGGCCATGTCACTCAGCCTAATTTTTTTTTAGTTAAGTAATGGCGCCTCCTGGGGGCCAAGCTCGGTCATAATTAGTTAGTATTAGTGCTCTTACTTGTCCCCTGCAATTTTCATTAAGTTTGGATAATAAATGACCGAGTTATTTAAGTTTTAGTTTAGCTGTTTTCTGTTTGCTGAGTGACCGTAGGTAACTGACCCCCTACCTAGCCTCAGGCTAGTTGGTAGGCATGGGTTTGTCTTTTAAAAGCTGCGGGCACCTGTGCCACAGCTTTTAAAAGCAATTTGAGCAAATTTGGTTGGTAATAACCGGAGTTATTACCGGTTTTACCCAAAAATGCACCTCCAGCCAAAGAATTTTTAAAATTTTGTGAGAACTGTTTTTTGAAGTGTTTATTGTAGTATTTATATAATTGTTTTGTGTTTGATTAATGTGTTTTACCCTTCTGGACCAGATAATTCATATTTTTTATTGTTAACTCCAATCTTTATAAAATTTTACTGTCAGAATGTGTTGTTAAAGTTAGTAATATTTAAAAGTCTATTTATTGTTATGTTTTTAAAGCTTTATTTATCTGAATTAATTTTGTCTAGTCATTTTTCTCTTTATAACTCTTAAAGACTGTTTTACAAAGGAAAGCCTATATAAAAAAAATATATATATATATATTATTTAACAAATTACTTCTTCAATAGTTTTGGTCAGTGAATGAGTGGTGCGGAAATTGTTTTTGAATTTATTGCTTGAAAACCTGGATAGGCCTAACACTGCAGTCATATGAAGCCTAAGAAATGAACTTTTATTAGTTAGGCCTGGAATCTGTTCAAAGGGTCCCAGATGTGAGGCTTCACCTGCCGCTGTCCTCGGAGAGGTTCGCCCGGAGGGGCACTACATCTTCTACCTCCTTGGGCTGCCAACGGCCCAGCATCTCCGGGGACCACTATGCCTCCATCTTCCAGTATGGACCACTAAGCCACCCACCGCCTGCCACCGTCAAGGAATCTTGTGCCACTTTTCCGCAAGTTATAGGCCTACTATAGAATATCTAAATTATGAACATTTTTAAAGGACTGTTTTTTAAGGGGCCCCAAAATGATTGATTATCCATTCTAGTATTTCATAGGAACTGTTATTTATTTGATTGTTATTTATTTTTATAGTATCCAAATTTTTATTTATTGCTTGTTAATTTATTTAAAGTTTAATATAACCGTACAATCCTATTTAATTATTGTTAGGCCTAACATCCACAGTTACCACTAAATTTGTAAGTTCAGGAGGGTAAAGTTTTGAGAAAGCTTAAAGTATTTAAATATTTTTGATAAAATAATTCTTTGGATGGCTGCTTTGTTGTTTATTGTTGATTGTTTTTATTGTTGATTTTGATTAATTATAGGCTTGTTGACAACTGTTTGTTTTTTGATATTCACCCACGGCCTTTCATTTTGTTAGGGATGTGGGGCGGCCACTCGCACTGTCACTATGGGGGGCATGCTTCCAATAGTTGTTCGTCTGGGGGCGGTGCGAGGGGTCGGCTCAGATGGTAGCAGAGCGTGGTTTTTTGTGCTCTTTCCACGAAGGGCCGTGGTTGGATTTGATTTTTGGGTGATGCTGGTCTGGCAGTCTTGGGAATTTTTTGAAGAAATGTTGTCGTGGTGGGGTAAGCACACTGTTGTAGTTTTTTATTAGGAGCTCGCCCTTGGCCGAGTCACCGGGTGGAATCTGGTTAATTACTTGCATCCTTTGGGAGCAAGAGTGTCAAAAGCATGGCCAATCCCAAAATTGAAACTGTGTGTGTGTTTACCTCATCACACAA